ATATAAAGTGGGGTTTTAATTTTTAAGAGAACTGAGCAAAAGGAGGGAGGAAATAATTAGAAAAGAGGAAGACATGGTGAAAATATATCTCTTTGTACTCTAATAGATAATTTTAAGAACAGTTTTCTGGCAAAATCATATCCTATTGTCATCAATAATGGGGCAATAAAGATGGGAAGAATTAGCCAAAGACAAAACAAGAAGAATCAAAGAGTGAGGGAGGCCAGTCCTAAAATAAGATTACCAGGAATATGTTACTAGATGACAGACACCTTTGGGTTGAAACATGGCCATACTGATTACACAGTGAAATGAAAAACAATCCTTGTGCCCATTGTGTCTCTCCACTGACAGCAGCATGATGAAGTTTCCATAGAAACAACATTCTGCTCATCTAACATCCCACCTTTTTCAAAGAGCAGTCAGTAAATCGTCAATAATATTTGTTTGAACAGAGAATTTTCTGATGATAAAGGGAGTTACAGCAGAAATCTGTATTCAATATAGTTTACTAGGGAAGATAAGACAAATATACATATACTAAATGAAGAGATATATACTATTTCTCCCCTTTTCAGAGAATATTCTACAATAAAATCAAGGGGAACAATGAAATATAGAATTATGCAAGTGGACATAACTCCCGTATGCAGTACAATAAAATATTCCTAACCTTTGTGTCTCTTTACCTAGTAAAAATACTACTGCCAGGGAGGACAGTAGGCATTGACAGGAGTATTAAAAACAGTGTTTCCAGATCAGGGAAGCCATATTTCAGTGCAAATTACTACACGCCCCCCTGTCCCTGTAAAGCATTTAGAGCAATGGTAATAGAGAGTGATTTTTCTGATTACGGAGATATTTTTTCCCATCATTTTTGAAAAGCTTTATTGAGTTGTAATTTACATATTATACAATTCACTTACTTAAGTATACACAATTCAGTGGTTTTTAGTGTTATTTACAGAGTTGTGTTACAATCATCACAGGTACCGAGTTTTAAGTGTTCAGCAAATCACTGAAAAACTGTCTTCTAATTTCAACCCTAACAGTAATCAACTTTTTAATATTTCTTTTTCCCCCCCCTAAGTAATTATTTCCAGGGTATACTGCTGACACTGGTATATACTCACTGAATTGAATCAAAAGCATTTTAAAAGTTTCTTTTTTGAGAAAGCAACTTCTCATAAACATCAACAGTGTTGAAAATAAAGCAGCTTCTGGAATTAAACTGGTAAAATCCATACTCAGTAAATTAGCTAATTGTGGGAGCAATCCATAAAACTGCCTGCGCCTTTGGAACTGATGAGTTTAAAAACATTCTCACCCCCTAATTAAGACGTGGATGTCATCTCAGGAGGCAACACTGGAAGTGGTTGTAATTCGGTCAGCAGAAATCTAATCAATTGTCTGGCCTGCTGGTAGAGGAAGTTGGCGTGAAAGTCAGCCTGTAGAAAGAGAACTGATGCTGCCCAGCTCTGTCCAGGAACAGACACACAAAATCTGGGGGAGTGAATTTTCCTGTCATTGAAGAGATGTACTGTTTCAGGGCAGGGGTCATTTATCAGGTCTCAGTATGATCTGAGTGAAATTATCTCTCAAAATGACTAAACTCATTTTGTTTTGATTCCTCATTTACTAAGCAACCGCCTGATGTGCCTTCCAAACCTGACAAAACAGTTACCTTGGCATGTACTATTTGAGTATCCTGGTTACCAAAAATGAATCTGCCCCACCACCCAACAAATGAACAAACGATTTGGTTTATTTGCTTCTTGTGGACTAAAGTATGTTAATCAACTCTGGCACACTGATAATATTAAGATCATACACTTAACTGTAATAATCACGAAGCCAGTGCCATCCGGAGAGATCTTGATACAATCATCCAGACCTTTCCTGCTATATCCTGACCTCATCATGGATCTCAAACCCGTAACTTGCTTCCATTCAAATACAATAAAGGAGGCCAAAAGAGAAAAGAATGTCCTATTCACTCTACATCAAAGTCTGCCTTGTATACTCATCTCTGACTGAGCAAAATCAGAAATTATCGCATTAATTTAAACAGACAAGAATAAATCAAAGCAAATTCAGTTTTTTCTGAAATGAAATTAAAAGCACCTATGTTTAAATCACTTATCATTGACTTAACATTAATCAACAGAAGATGAACCTGAATAAATCTAAATTGATGGGTGAAAGTTTGAACATAAAGAAAAATGTGCTTAGTAAAATACTATTGAATGAAAATAATCAATAATGAAATTCCTGCAATTTAAAAAACAATTCTCATCTCTTCTGCTACTAACCAAATAGGGTGATGCTAGAAACTGAGTATATTTGTTAAAATAGTGTTCTTTTTGGTCAGCTTCTCATTTTAAAAATTATCGAGTTCTTGCCTTTACACTAAAAGCTTAGTTTCACCCTGATGGAGTGGCTCAGTGGGTTGAGTGTCATCCCACAAACCAAAAGGTTACTGGTTCGATCCCTGGTCAGGGTACATGCCTGGGTTGTGGGCCAGGTCCATGGTTGAGGGAGGTACAAGAGACAACTTATTGATGTTTCTCTCCCTCTCTTTCTCCTTCCTTTCCCCTCTCTCTAAAAAAATAAATATATTTTTTAAAAAGCTCAGTTTCAAAAAATATCATTGAAGGATAGTCAAAGGATAGAGAATCTGTCCTTCCCTCTAAAATTTTCAAGTTCTTTTGTCTTTTGGGATCTACAGGATCCTTTAAGAGCCTGATTAAAATGTCGAATCCTCTTTGCAAAAAACAGTACATGCACATATATACATGATTTTGGAAACCATCACAGAGAGTTCAAGGACTACCAAACACTTTAAAGTATGTTCAATCAACTTTTAGAACTAAGAAATAATGCCCTTCTCCTAAACAATCGTTTTTTTTTTGTTTGTTTTCTTTTGTTTTGGGGTTTTATGGGGGGTTGGTTTTTAATCTCAAAGGTACTTTGGATTTCAAATATACTTGTATTGCTTTCTTTACTGTGACTTCTGGGATGACCAGAGTCAAATTTGCAGTCCATCTCTAGAAACTAAAGAGGCTATTACAGCAACATTTTGTGTACTAACCTTATTCATGACTTCATCTTAATCTTTATTTTCCCAATCCCCCTGATTTCTTCTAGTTTTAATAATGTTTTGTGGCATCTCTACAAACTGCCTTACTTCTCTAGGGAGAGAGATTGTTGTAGATAAAATTTATAATATTAAGAAAATCATCCTTGCTTTCTCTCTTCCAGTCTCAGGCATTTTGGGAGCCATGGGCTTCAGTGCAGGCTTCATAAGAATGACACCACCTACAGCCAGCCCCCCAAATGGCACAGAAACAGCATCAAGAAACCTCGATCACAAAGATATGAATTTCTCAAAGGGGTAGACCCCAAGGTCCTAAGGAATATGCACTTCTCTGAGAAGCACAAGAAGGTCCTGAAGAAGATGCAGGTTAACAATGCCAAGGCTATCAAGGCTCTGGTAAAGCCCAAGGAGGTCAAGCCCAAGATCCCAAAGAGCAGTAGCTCAAGCTTAATTGACTTGTCAGCATTGCTCACCGCAAGCTCCTGGCCCCATCATCACCAAGGGTCTCAGGTTCTGCAGCCAAAGTGCAAGCTAAGGCTCAAACCAAGCCCCAGGCTACAGCTGTGGATGTAGCAGCTCCAGCTCAGGTTTCCCAAAGGGCCCAGGCCCCTAGGAAGGGTCTACAGTAGAGGCCTCTATCCGCCAATGAGGATGAAGGCCTGGTGTGACCTCTGGGCTGCTGTCTGCATGGAGCTGGTATCCTCCTGTGCTATTAGCACAAATAAACCTGAGGCAGGAAAAAAAAAAAAAAAGAAAATCATCCTTAGGTTGCAGATCTATTCTGGTGTATTTATCACTGCAGGGTTTCTTAAAATTTTAAATTCATTACTGATATTTAAAAATCCCAACATTTCATATAAAAATTCAGATTTTAGAGGTCTGAAAAAAATGTATAAAGTTCTTATCTCCTTAGGACAGCATTTGCAAGCAGCATCAGTCTTGAATTGTGGTCTCACGCACAACTCTCAAGTGTCCATTTTGCTTATTTATAGCACCTGAAAGGCTCGGTAATGACTTTTGAAAAAGGAACTTCAGGATTCTATAAAAATACACCCGCACTTACATATTTTTTCTCATACTTTGGAGAAATAAGAAGCACAATTCATTCTGTAAACTTTCACTGAACCTCGCCTCTACTAGGCCTAATGACAGACGATTAAAGACAGGAAGAAGCAGAGGTCTGGGTCCTGGCTGGCAGGTAGCATCGGTGACTGACTGATCAGGGCATGAGTCACCCCACAAGGAATGGTGAACTGAGCTATACAAAGTTAAATTCTGAACCGATGGTGAAACAATACTTAGTGTAGAATACACACTAAGGAATCTAAACTAGTTCCTTTAGACACTTGTCGATGCAACCCAACGCTAGTTCGCATTCGGAGTTGGGAAGACAAAGTCTTGCCTTGGATCCAGATTGAATCGGGCAACGCAACGGTCGGACTAAGCACACTCTGGGAGGAAGACAAGGTTTCCGGAACAACCCCTGCGTACCTCCCCCCTTGACTCCGCCCCCGGGAGTCTTTCCCGCCAAAGGCCGTTAATGCCGCAGAGCACGGTGGGACAGGCTGTAGGGTAGGTTTCACCAACTCCTTTCAAGGCGCCTAGGTGTTTTAATGGGCTCATTCCTGAGGAAAATATCTCTTAAAACTCGACCGGGATTAATAATCTCTTTAACGAGGGCTCCGTATTTTTTTACTAAACGGCTGGTCACCCCATTAGGAAACCACTCGTAAATCAAGAAGGCAAGGAACTTTTTTCCTTTCGCGCGGAGGGTGACGTCGCGCGTGCGTGAGCGTAGGTTCGCGAGCCCGTTAGGCTCTTGCGCGTGCGTACTGAGATGGACTAGCTGCTTCCTTCCGCTTCTCTTCTTCCCTCCCCCCCATATCCGTGCGCCAAGCTGATAAAGGCGCCATTTTGGAGAGGCCGCGGGAGACGTGGTGTCGCTGCCGGTTCGCTCTTCTGTGCGCTAGGCTTGGTGGGAAGGCCTGTTCTCGAGTCCGCGCTTTTCTTCGTCGCCATGTCGGGAGGTGGCGTGATTCGTGGCCCGGCCGGGAACAACGATTGTCGCATCTACGTCGGTAACTTACCTCCAGACATCCGAACCAAGGACATTGAGGACGTGTTCTACAAATACGGTGCTATCCGCGACATAGACCTCAAGAATCGCCGCGGAGGACCGCCCTTCGCCTTCGTTGAGTTCGAGGACCCGCGGTGAGGCGGCCTGGGGCTTTGCGGCCTTGAGGAAATCAGTTTGAGTAGTTGGGGAAAGCTCCAAGGCCTTAATAGTAGAGAATGGGGAGGTGGGCTCTTAGATAAGGGGCAAGATGATATCGCTCCTGCAGGAGTCGAGGAGGACCACAGTCGGTTTGGCTTTTCTGGTGGCTGGGCCCCCGTGGACGTTCCCAGAGCCGACTGAGGCTAGGAGCGGGAAGCATGCGTTGAGGGCCGGTGTAGTGGTCGCGAGCCTGGCGTGTTTCTGAGTGGGGGAGGGGCCATTCCTATTATGCAGCGCATGTGGGCTCCTCAGACTGGGTGCGCATGTGCGGGGGGCAGCCGAATCTGGCGGAGTTTGTAACCCCTCCGGGCTCTTTTTCTTAGCCATTTTGCTTTTGTGATCACACAGAGATGCGGAAGACGCGGTGTACGGTCGCGACGGCTATGATTACGATGGATACCGTCTACGGGTGGAGTTTCCTCGAAGCGGCCGTGGTACAGGCCGAGGCGGCGGCGGGGGTGGAGGTGGCGGAGCTCCCCGAGGCCGCTATGGCCCCCCTTCCAGGCGATCTGAAAACAGAGTGGTTGTCTCTGGTGAGTTTACCGTTAACGTGGATTGATGGAGAGAAAAGGGATTGAAACAACTTGAAATTTTCCTTGGGTTAGCAGTTTGGCAAATTTTTGTGCTAGGTCTTGAATTAGTCTTTTGAGTGAATTTAGTAAACAGGTATTGTTGTAATGGAGATTGACCAAACTAGCTTGCAGTACCTAGAATATGAAGGTCCTTAATTTAGAAACAATTTTGGACTCCGGATTCCAGATTTTAGCTCTTTACTAAGATCTTAAATCATTATTTTAAAGGCGGTCTTTGTCTTAATGTAAATTTTAAAGTTACAGAATTCAGAATGATTGGTATTGAAAAAAGTCACTTTTTCAGGACTGCCTCCAAGTGGAAGCTGGCAGGATTTGAAGGATCACATGCGTGAAGCAGGTGATGTATGTTATGCTGATGTTTACCGAGATGGCACTGGTGTCGTGGAGTTTGTACGGAAAGAAGATATGACCTATGCAGTTCGAAAACTGGATAACACTAAGTTTAGATCTCATGAGGTAGGTTATACACTTATTCTTTACTTTGGCCAGAATTGGATACATGGTCTTAACAGTGGAATTTGCAGGTAAGATTCAGGCAAGCGTGTCCAAGTAAAGTGCCAGGTTTCTGGGTTTTAGCTACTTTGTACTCATTCAGCATGCCTGAAGACAGGTAAAAGAGTTTCAATCGAAAGTTCTGTCTATTCAATAGGGAGAAACTGCCTACATCCGGGTTAAAGTTGATGGGCCCAGAAGTCCAAGTTATGGAAGATCTCGATCTCGAAGCCGTAGTCGTAGCAGAAGCCGTAGCAGAAGCAACAGCAGGAGTCGCAGTTACTCCCCAAGGAGAAGCAGAGGATCACCACGCTATTCTCCCCGTCATAGCAGATCTCGCTCTCGTACATAAGATGATTGGTGACACTTTTTGTAGAACCCCATGTTGTATACAGTTTTCCTTTACTCAGTACAATCTTTTCATTTTTTTAATTCAAACTGTTTTGTTCAGAATGGGCTAAAGTGTTGAATTGCATTCTTGTGTAATATCCCCTTGCTCCTAACATCTACATTCCCCTCATGTCTGGTAAATTGTATTTTAAGTGATGTCATAGACAGGATTGTTTAAATTTAGTTAATTCTCCATGCTCTTCAGACTGTGATATTGTGTAAATGTCTATCCTGCTCTGGTTTGTGTGAACTGGGATGTTGGGGGTGTTTGTGGCTGTCTTACCTGGGGAAGTTCTTATGTTTATCTTGCTTTTCATGTGTCTTTCTGTAGACATATCTGAAGAGATGGATTAAGAATGCTTTGGATTAAGGATTGTGGAGCACATTTCAATCATTTTAGGATTGTCAAAAGGAGGATTGAGGAGGATCAGATCAATAATGGAGGCAATGGTATGACTCCAAGTGCTATTGTCACAGATGAAATTGGCAGTATTGACCTTATACTAAAAAGCAAGGATTAAAAATGATTATTTGCACCCATCTTAAAACACTTGCAAATATATTATGCAGTTATCTTAGCTACAATTGCTTTGTTCTTTAAACCTTGGCAATTGTGGCAAAATTACAGTGCCCATTTTGTAACAGTTTATTTTGCTCCCTCCCCTTTTGTTTTAATAGGGACTAATGTGGGAAGAGCTGGCTAATTTGTCACAGTGCTTTAGTTACAACTGTTAATGTGTGACCTGCTGTTGGTGTACATGTGGGTACAGGGTGTCTTTAATTCCAACCAGATAGAGTATAATATCAATACTGCTAAATCTGCATGTCCTCTGTGTGACTGATATAGCGTTGCTATTTCATTTTTTTAAGACAAAATGAAAGCAAATTATAGAATTCCAACGTATTGGTGTAGATAATCTAGATGGGAATACTTCTAAGTCTCACCTTAAACTAATATTCATAATTGACTCATGTTTAAAATATTTTAATTTACAAATTAAATTGCAAATGGGAGCATTAGATTTAGTTTAGACTTAGGGTTGGTAACAATACCAGTAAACTTCAACTACATAGTTTTTGCAACCACAAAACCTGTAATACGCTGTACAGTAACAAGTGTTGGCATTATCAGTTGAACTGTAAATATAAAATGCTTCTTCCAATTAGTCTCTATGATTAAGTTTCTAAAATTTATCTGAACACCATTCAGAAACTTGTTTTGGGGAATTTGATAGTTATTGATGTACATCTGTTAAACTGATGACAGACATAACTCATCATTCCCCAGAAACCTTTTTTGATTACAGTATCTAACATTTTGCCTCCTCTTTTTTGGTTTTGCTGGTTATAAAGGTTTGGATTGGAGAGGGCTCACTGGATCCCAATCCTTGGAGCTGGATCATTGGATTCAAATCATAATGTGGATAGGATAGGGAGGATCAATTACAAGGATTCATGGAGCGGGATCAGATTACCAGGAACATAGGAGTGGATTCCTGCCCCAACCAAACCGCATTCGTGTGGATTTTTCTTTTTTTATTCAACTTAATTGGCTATTCCAAAGATTCTTTTTTTCTCTATTTTTGACGATTGGAGCCCTTAAGATGCACGATGGAATTGTGTTTTGCATTTTTGGTAAAAGGAGCAAAGCGAGGACCTGGAGATATACGCTGGAGCAATCTCCTTGGAAGGATTCAGCACGAGTAGATGGTAAACATTTAAAGGGGAAAGGGGGGTTTGTTTAAAATAGTAAATCAGTAAGTCATTTCTAAATTTAAAGAAAATCAAAATTGGTGTTGAAGAATAAGTAGGTTTCCAATTGGCTGTTGCCGTTTTTCTTTGAGAAATAAACATTTTTTAAAAAACTGCATGGTTGTCTTTTTCCTCTTGTAAGCTTTTAACTGGGTGGCTATCAGTTAATATTTTTAAATGATAAGGTTCTGACTAGCATTTGTGTTAGTAAATTAAAGGTTCTTTAAAGGTAATCTTTAATGGTATTAATCAGTTTTTGTTAATTATAAAAATATTTGGGAAGATGAGAAAAGGTGAGAAAGGCAATTGTGTATGTGATATGGTAAATGAAGGGTAATCTAGTCTCTGAAAAATAAGCTTCCCATACTTTGATTTTTTTTTTAAGTTATTAAAACTTACAGATGCTGCATATTTTTGGTGATCATCCAGATAACAGACTTGTGCAAAGTTGAGTGATGGCTGGGAAATGTTAACTTGAAGAAAGCTTTTGATATTGTCAGTAAAACTCATCTCAAAAATTGTTAAGTAATGTTTAAATTCAGCACAGATGAGAGTTTTCAGCACAATTGACACTTTGAGATGTGACTAAAACACTAGAAGAATAACTGCTTATTAGAGTGTATTATTGCTAATAAAAAGCTGGCCATTCTTTAAAATGTTGCCTTGTAAACTTTTCTCAACTATAAGGTTGTTATTCAGTATCCAGAACATACCAAAGCAGTGATTGTATCTTTCTTGTAATCTGCTAGTTTTTGTATTTTATTACTTGACCGTCCTTGGTTTTAAATTTTCAGTTTGCTTGAATCCAAGGGGATTTTTTACCTAAAATCTCTAATGGTTTCAGTTCTTAATAGCTAGTCACAACCATCAAGTCTTTTTTTCTGCACCCAACAACTAAATCTTAACATTCCCTTTGGGTGCTAACGATACTGGAAGCTGAATTTAAGACAGCTGTGCAGGTGACATAATTTCCCATCTATGAAAAACTGAAAGTTTTGTAGTGGAGGAAATTGGCCCAAGACTTGCATAAAGTCACCTAAACCAATACATGTAAATGAATCTTATGGAATGTCAGGAGGAAGGACAAGGATAAAATTTCAAAATTAGGATTCCCCTTAAAGTATTTAAATAAAGCGTTGGTATAGACTAAATAAGAAACTAATGTAAATTCAAAAAACAGGTTTATTAAACTGTTTTGCATCCAGGTATTAATCAGGCCTGATCCGGCTTAGCTTAATGAGATCAGGTATTTTCAGGGTGGCATGGCCATAGACAAGTTGTATTTCATGTGAAGAATATTTTTTAAACCTAGTTTTTAAAATGACATTTAATTCTGCAAAGGTAAATGGGTGGATTTAAGTAAGCCTGGGTTCATTTGTGTTCACTGAACGTTTTGTTAACCAAAATGAAAATTGCCTTCACTCAAGGTTAAGTATGTTGAAGCTAAGTTGAAAAATGAGGTCTACTAAGTTTTAAGTTTTACCTACCCCCAGATTAAAATGAGACAATACATTTGTCTGGTATGTGAGCTGTTTGAAGATTAGAGAGGGCTTAATGTGTGTATGCCAAAGGTAGGAGGAGGGCACAGGTTTTGCCGTTAACACCAAGACAGAAGTTTTGAGGGGATGCAGACCTTTTTCCAGTCTGAGATGGCCCTTAAACCTGTACCTGAGTTGGCAGCTGTTAGAAGAAAGCCACTCTTGTGGAACTAAAAAGACGGGCTTGAATTTTGCCTTTCTTTCCTCCCTGTTTGTTTCCCCTTAGAGTGTTGTAGGGGGCCTATAATTAGTTTGTTATTTTCTAATCAAGGAAAAATGTAAGTCTAAGAAGCACCTATTTTTCATAACATCAGCTTGAATAACCCATCTTGCTGTTCAGCCCACATCCTGGAAACAAAAGGTAAGAAACCCATTTTTGATTCCTGTTTGGGATTTGAAATTTTTTTAAGTTATGTTTTATTTATTAATGTTTGAAATATGAGTAGATTTCCCTCATTTAGAATGTGTTCCTAAGTTTTACACTTAAATGGTAAATTTTGAGTGCATATATATCCACTCATACTTAAGTGCAATATGATTCTAGAATCTCAGCTTTTTTTTTGAAACATCTTGCTCATTAGGTCTGGTATTTTTTCAAGTTTTTATGAAGATGAATTTATATATGCCTTTTTGCTTTGTGTATGAAGTTGTAACAAAACATGTTTTATGTATGTATTTACCAGAAATAGTATTAAAAGGAGAGAAACAGACTGAGGTTCTATTGTAACAACTATTCTTTGGTTTACCTTAATTCTGTTACAGTATAAACAGTGCAAAGGAAGAAAATGGGTTCACGATCTCTTATCCAAAAAATACTGAAAACACTGTCAAAGTAATGTAAAACCTGATAAGTGATACCTTGTTTTGTACTTAGTGTGACTACCTGTCCTGCAGAAATACTGATGTGTTTCATTATACAGTAGCCACGGGCTTTACTGAAGGTGTTATGTTTTATATAGGGATAGGGTCTATATATCATACCTTTGTAAAGTGTAAACAGCTCTAAATTTCAAGCACATCTGTCCCCAAGAGTTTGAAAGGGATTGTAAACTATAAAATAGAGTATGTGGGGTTAAAGCTTGTATAACTGGGTGTGAGTAAAGCCTGTAACTGGATCTTGTATTACCTGTATTTTGCCATGTATAATGCAACCCACGTTTTGGGCCCAAACTTTCATGGGAAAAATCTTGTTTTAATTTTTTAATTCAGTTTTTCACTTATATTTAGAAACAAAACCAATTATTGTATTGGCAGAATATTATTTTACACACATTGCTTTCTAGAGTTACACTTTAAATGCATAAGCATAAAAGAATTTAAAACATGGTTATGGAATTACTACTACCCATGTGTAATGCCCACCTTTATATTTCCCTCAAAAATTTGGGCAAAATGCATGTTATGCACAGCAAAATAATGGTAATTGAGATGTAAATTTCCCATCTTTTTAAAGCTGAAACAGCAACAAGGTAAAGAAAATATGGCTCACATTTTTTGTCAATCTTTTAACATATAGGGGACTCAAAACATTTGTACTCCACTGAAGGGAGTATTTTGCCATCCTGGCATTATACAGTGGAGTACTGCATTCTTTTAAGGTAGTTTTTTCACCCCAATACACACTTGATAAAGAACATTTGTCCTGATCCAAAAGGAAAAGCTGAGATTGGCACGAAGTAAAAAGTTTATAAGGAAATGGGTTTATTTTGTCTATTCAACAATGTGATATTGGCAAACACTTATTTTAAGTAATAGCCTAATAGAGTGCTTAAATCAGCATTTGCTCTTGTGATTGAGAACTTTTAGGGATGGTTCTTTTTAGCTTTAAAAGCTATGCCCCACAATCCTGAAGGTGATTTTTAGTTATCAAGGAAAGGGGTTTGTTTTGTTTGTTTTTACAAAAATAATTAATACATGGAAAATAAATTAGTCTTCATCATAGAAGTTAATTTAGGCAGAAATAACAGGCTATCGGGGAGAGAAGTCATTTGTGCCTTTGCTTATTTAGGAGGTTACCATTTAAGTAGGTATGGAACATAGGTAGATGAAACAACACTTAAAAGAGCAGATCCTGAGTATTTTCTTTAAAAGTACCAGGGAGTTAACCCTTCAACCACTAGGTTAAAAAGTGTCTTAACTCCTGTCAACATACAACTTTACAGATGTCCTCTATCAACTATTGATGGAACTATCAATGTGAAGATAGTGGAAATCGAGAGCCTTTTGAACAAAACATCAGGTTCACAGGGATGCTAGATGTCAAGGTGATTTTTTAAAATTTTTGCTTGAGTAAATGCTAGGGGAAATCACCAAGCCACTAGAGGGAGCTATGATGCAAAATCAGCCAGGAAATCCCCTACTGGGAAGGGTCCATACTGCAAGGTGGAAGGAAGCCAACTACCTGAATGTGTATAGCAGCTCTAAAGGGGGGAATTGGTGAGTTTTCTTGCTGTAACTTTTCATCTGTCTTCTCATCTGTTTAGCAAAACCCTTTCTCTTTCCAACCTGTGGATCCTTTTAGGTTTTGAATAGAGCTTGAGTACTGAGCTTACATAAACCAGAAAAGTATTTCTAGATCTTTTGAGAAAATACTGAAGATACAAGTCAGCATGTTTTCTGCCAATCTTGTGCATCTTGAGGTATGGAATAATGCCAAGCATGTAAGAATTGGGTAGTAAGCAGGAGTAGCTGTGCTGCAAAAAAATACAAAGTCTTGGCATAAAACTGCTCATATGCTACCAAAAAGAATGCTTTTACAAGCTTTTAGTTTTTATGGTGTGAAACAGTTTCTGGAGTGATCTTATTTCTCAGCATTACTAAGATTTGTAATATTTAATGTGTCTTAATCTGCTTGTCAGGTTGGCCCTTTCTGTTTTCTAGGCCTTGCTTAAGTAGGCATAGAGTATCCTGTGGTCAGAAAGTCAGTACACATTTCATGTTTTCTTAGTGCCATTTTATTTTAAGCCGAAAATTATTGGGGGTTAGTAATAAAGCATTTGTCATTCATAGCATTTCCCTCACCCAACTTGACGTTGCAGAAATGTAAAGGACACAAACCTCAACTTGCCTGTTTTAGGTTGTCACTCAGAATACTGTACTAAAGTCTCTTAGGCCCACTTGGTCCAACTTAGTCAAGAAAATGAGCGTGGGAGCACTTGCCTTTCTAACTATTGATGTTAGAAACTTCTTCTTTGAAGGGTAATATGCAGAAGAGGACAAATAAAGATATTTTTCCAGGAGAGAAGTAAGGTTACGCAATAGAGATTACCCTGCCTGCTGACCGCAGAAGATGGTTGCTGACTAGCAGCAGTGCTACAAATTGGATCAAGCATCGAAGCTACACCAGATTGATTGTGCCTGTCCTTAATCCTAATAGTGTTAGCTCTGATGTCTCCTTATTTAACTTGTGAAGAGGCACTCTTCCCAAATGTACAAAAACCAAAAATGTACAAGAGAATCCAGGGTTCTGTGAAAGAAAAGCTAAATTTTGGGTGTTACAGGATCAAAAGGTATGGATGAATCATACCCTGTATGGGTTGCTGGGTGTTTAGGGGGTAGGGGGTCTTAGGTGTTTTTCT